CTCCTCATCTATCCCATTCTGGTACTTACATAATTTCCAACTGCATGACACAATAGCTGAGATTCAGCTGCCTAAATTCAGGTATCTAGAGTTGTGTTATGGGATGTGCTGCCTGGTCTCTGCTTGTCCCTTCAGAAATATTGAGTATCCCACAGACTCTGTTCCATGTAATATCTTGGATGCAGCAGGATATTTGTTATGGTATTATGTTCAGGTAACTGAATCCTGCCTGAGAGTGGAAATCAGGTCAAAGATGTGGACATTTAAAAGTAGGTGTCTCCCCACAGGGGTATATTGCTGTGTTAGACTGTTTGGCCACAGAATGCTTTGAAGAGATGCAGAAGACCTTTATGGACACTCGGCTTTGCTGTGTTCATTTGTATTTTTAAGCAGAATATAGTGTTATTTGATATCAGTTTGACAGAAAACTGAAATTTCCAGATTTCCCAGCAGAACACCCCATTTCCCCCAGTGTCCCTTTCCAACTCCTTAAAATGTTATAAATAAGGTTAGGTTTCCAGCTAGTTTGAGGAGCACAGCACCTCAACTGCAATCAAATCCTCCTGATTTACAGTGCCATAATGCAAATCTGGATAAGTTCTTGGGGAAAGCAGATGTTTCCCATAATTTTAGTGTCCCAGGTTAATTCAGGGATACCCCAGGCCCATCGATTGAAAACTTCAAAATGAAAGAGAAGTCCTTCTTTCTCACATTCACTCCCTCAAAGGGACATGAGTCCCAGACCAGATTAACAAGATTGATTCCACAAAAGAAAGATCACTAAAGGATTTACCTTTAGTCCTCATTATCCCAAGCCATCAGGCCCTTCTACTCTGTTCTTACCCCTCTGCTCTGCTCTGCTGAGCCCCCATCTGCAGTGCTGTCTCCAGTTCTGGGGCCCCCAACACAAGAAAGACATGGAGCTGTTGGAACAAATGCAAAGAAGGCCACTAAATTCATCACTGGGTCACAGCCCCTCTGCTCTGGAGACAGGCTGGGAGAGCTGGGGGTGTTCAGCCTGGAGAACAAAAGGCTCTGGGGAGACCTTAGAGCCCCTTCCAGTGCCTGAAGAGGCTCCAAGAGAGCTGGAGAGGGACCTGGGACAAGGGACTGGAGTGACAGGACAAGGGAGAATGGTCTTAAACTGAAGGAGGGAAGGTTTAGATTAGATAATAGGAAGAAATTCTTCCCTGTGAGGGTGATGAGGCCCTGGTACAGGTTGCCCAGAGAAGCTGTGGCTGCCCCTGGATCCCTGGAAGTGTCCAAGGCCAGGCTGGACAAAACTTGGAGCAACCTGGGCTAGTGGAAGGTGTCCCTGCCCATGGCAGGGGGTTGGAACGAGATGATCTTTAAGGTCCCTTCCATCCCAAACATTCCATGTTTCTATGACTCTATGACTGTCTGTCCCTCAGACACACCCCTCAAATGAGATGGAAGTCTCCTCTGGAAGTCCCTGTATCTCCATTGACTCTCAGGGAAAGCTAGAAGATTACATTACATCAGATAACTGGGATAGGTTTCCTGCCACATCTTTTGGAGGCTGACAGATCCCTCCACCTGAACCAGTCTTCTGCATTCCCTTCATAGACAGTGGAGAGAAACAAGCACTGGATGAGTCAAATGGAATAGAAAGGACACTGGGTACATGAGTGGCTCCAAAGTGTAGACATCTCAAGTGGAGTGAGGGGAAGCTCCCTTGTAATTTCCTTGTATTTAATGTAAAACATTCACCCCCAAAAGCCTCAAAGCTGAAGATGTCCAATTATGGGTGATCCATACTAATAATGACCAAAATAGTGATTCAAACCCAGCTCAGAATTCTGAAGTTGATTGCCTTTTCACACCCTGCATGGAAACGCAGGAAAAAATACCTCCAGTATTCCTGTTCACTGGTAAACTGGGAACAGGAACTGGGAACAGGCCTTTCCTGTGACTGTTGCAACACTGAGCATGAGGAAGCATTGACTACTTGGAGGGTTCTTGACTTTCTCCACCCTCAGCTGTAGGTAATAGAATCACAGAGTCATTGAGAATGGAAAAGACCTCTGGGGTCCTTGAGTCCAACCATTCCCCCAGCACTGCCAAGGCCACCACTAACCCATGTCCCCAAGTGCCAGCTCTATGAGGCTTTTAAACCCCTCCAGGGCTGATGGCTCCACCACTGCCCTGGGCAGCCTGTTCCAATGCTTGACAGAGCTTTCCATTAAGAAATTTTTTTCTAATATCCAATCTAAACATTCTCTGGCACAGCTTGAGGCCATTTCCTCTTGTCCTATCACTTGTTACCCACAAGAAGTCCACCTCTGAGTCTCCTTTTTTCCAGGCTGAGCCCCCCAGCTCCCTCAGTAGCTCCTTATAAGATATCATTAGGCAAGGGGACAAACTTCACCTGTGTGCAAGCATTTCTTTTGTGATCCATATAAAACCATAGAACAAACAAGAGCAAATGAAGTGCAGATGAGGCAGAATGAGATGTCACCTGAAATCTGAAGATTTTTTTACCTAGAATAGAATTTCTGATTATAATTTGAAGGGGGGGTGTGATTGTATAAACAGTCAGAGCCTCATAGTGAGGACATCCATGTGCAATGGCTGGAAATCAGAGGGAAGGATTTTGAATGTCAGATTACTGGACAAGCACTCCTCCTCCATCAGATTATTAACACACCTGAGGTTTTGAATTTGTCCTTCATTTCCCAAGATTTTTTTTTGTTTTTTTTAAAAACAGCATTTTCAGTCCATCATTAAACAGAACAGGACCATTTTTTAAAGATAATTGATGAGTTAGAAAGCTGGGCTTCTGCTCCAGTCTGACAAAGTACGATGTCAGATGCTGTCTGAGAGCTGAGATGAATATCTCAGGTAGGATCTCGCTGGCTTCAGTGGGAACCTGAGCCAACTGAAGGTTTCTTGACAGGGTCTTTGCTTCACTCCTTTTTCTGGAGTACTTGAAAATGGACATAAACATCTCTCCTGCCACTCTGCTGCTCAGGAGACTCGATGGCACCTGCAAATTTGAAATGGAAAGCAAACAAAGAAACCAGGGAGGCAGAGAACAATGCACAGCCGTTGAGGGGGAGGTTTATATTGTTGGTATCAGGGCTGCTGGGTCAGAACAACATCAATAAATATCAAGTATAGAAACAGGCTCGAGTAAGTGAGCTGGTTTCTTCTGCTCTGAGGGAGAACCTGTGCTGTCAGCTGCCACCTCCACATGACTCTGGGTAACACCATTCAAACTATGTGTGGACAGATCCTCAGGAAGACTGTATCATGAATCTCACCTGTCCTCTGCTCTTTGTACACCTGTAAAGGTGCTGCTCATAATGTCTGCAAACTCATAATCTTCACCTCATGTGTCATAGAGTCATGGAATGACAGAATGGTTTGTGTTGGAAGAAACCTTAAAGACTATCCAGTTCCACACACTGCCATGGGCAGGGATACCTTCTGCTATCCCAGGTTGCTCCAAGCCCATCCAACCTGGCTTTGAACACTTCCAGGGATGGGGCAGCCACAGCTTCTCTGGGCAACTGAGAAAGAATGACCCTGCTGTATGTCCTGTGACATAACAGTGGTTCCCAAGAGAAAGAAATGAAGGATAATGAACATTTCACTCATAAACATATCAGATAATTGTATTTCGTTCTGTGAAAGGTGCTGTGAAGAAAATGTTTTTTCTTTCTCAAATTATCCTTGAAAAGCCAGAAAAGTGACAAAGCATTTCCTGAAGCAAAGAGGAGTCAAATACTCATTTCTTGTTTATGGGCACTCGGGGGCTGAGCAACAGCTTCAGGCAGTAGGTGCAGGAACCCACAGTGCTGACTGCTACTAAGATGGAAACATCTTACATTTTTAACAGAAAAATGGCATTTTTAATAATAATACAGTATGTTCCATGGGAGTGAAGTCCTGGTAGCCCAAGCGCAAACCAAGCTGTTAATTCTAGATTCCTGTAACATCTTGTTCCTGGAGCATGGCAGGGCTGTTCATAGAATCACAGAATGGTTTGAGTTGGAAGGGCCCTTAAAGATCATTCAATTCCAGCCCCCTGCCATGGGCAGGGATACCTTTCACTAGACCAAGTTACTCAGAGCTTTGAGCTTGAAGCTCAAATTGGAGGATATGAAATGTGAGAGCTGACATACTCAGCCTTGGGGAGACTTTCTGGCAATTTCCACATGCTTTTATTTAAATACATTATGAAACCAAGTAAGAATTTTTGCAGAAGTGCAGGTTGGTGCATTCTGATTGACACATGTTTTCCATAAAACAACAATCCATTCAAACTGAAACCCCGTGAGCTCTGGGCTTGGCCAGCTAAGTACAAGTATCTACAGCAAAGGTTTCTTCATGAGTGTTGGGTCCTAAGGTCTCACTACAACTAAACAAGTGATTTGTGTCCTAGAACCAGTAACTGAACATCTCATTCCAGTGCAGCCACATCCATATTAGATGTCTACATCTATCTAAGTGTAGCACTGACCACTGCCAGTGTAGCACCTTCCAATACCTGAAGGGGCCTATAAAAAGCTGGAGAGGGACTTTTTACAATAGCATGGAGTGAGGAGAGACTGGAGCACCTCTGCTACAGAGATAGGCTGGCAGAGCTGGAGGTGTTCACCTGGAGAAGAGAAGGCTCCAGGGAGACCTTGGAGCCCCTTCCAGTGCCTAAAGGGGCTCCAAGAGAGTTGGAGAGGGACTAGGGACAAGGGCCTGGAGGTACGGGATAAGGGGAAATGGCTTCACATTGACACAGGGCAGGGATAGATGGGATATTAAGAGAAATTGTTCCCTGTGGGGGTGGTGAGGCCCTGGCACAGATTACCCAGAGAAGCTGTGGCTGCCAAATCCCTGGAAGTGTCCAAGGCCAAGTTGGACAAGACTTGAGCAACCCAGGATAGTGGAAGGTATCCCTGCCCATGACAAAGGGGTTGGAATGAGATGATCTTTAAAGTCTCTTCCAACCCAAACCATTCTGTGGTGATCCTCTGATATTCCAGTTGCCTTCTCTCCCATGAAAAAATTGCTAATTTCCTCTGGGTTGTCCATTACCAACACCTTGATCTTTGAAGTCAACAAGTAACGACACTCTCAGGTGGGTCAGTGTTGAGAACCAGCCCTCCCAGTGGTCAGGCAGGGAGGTGTAGTCATTTCTCCACTTGCTTTCATGACCCTGTGCCATTGTTCAGGCTTAGCCGTGTGCAGAGGTCAGACTGAACTCACTGCCTTCCACACTCACCCCTGCCAAGGTCCCCCAGACAGCCAGCCCTGCTCCCACAGCCCTATAAATGCCACAGTGCTCCCTCCTCCCCTGCTCAAAGGTTCTAGTGTTGTGGCCCTGTCTCCACGCTGCAGCTGAGACCTTCCACCATGAAGCTCTTCTCCTGCCTCATGGCTCTTCTCATGTTCCTCCTCCAGGCTGTTCCAGGTAAGGGGCAAGACCCACGCTGGTTTCTGCCTCTGTAGGAGGCACAACTCACTTGTGTGGTGGTGCAGAACATGCTCTTCAGCTCCTTTCGTTAGAGCAGTTCCCTATTTCTCACTCTAGAAGTAGAAGTGAAAAATAAACCTGTGGTGACCAGGTGTCAAACTAGAACCTCCTCACCAGATGTTGGCTTCTTATGACTCTTTGATGTCTTTTTGTGTCACTATTGGAACATGATACCATGGAAATCATCTGCCTCTTCTAACCCAGGGTTAGAAATTTTCTCCCTTGTGTAGAGCAGAAGAGAGCAGAGATGTTCCCTTTTATTACTCAAGTTGAGCCACACCAGCAAAGCTGACTTTAGCTCTCTGAATATTCTCCCCCTTCCTCTGCCCCTCAGCTGCACTAATTTTCTGATTCTGTTCCTCATATTTCTTCTACATGTTCTTCTCGCTCAATGAAACCCCTCGTTCTGGAGTCAGGCTTTTGGAGAAGGAAGGAACCAGGCAAACTGCTTGTCCCACTTTTTGGGGCTTTTTAAAGTCACAGTTACCTCCCAGGGCAGGTTCTCACCATGCTGTCCCTTGCATGACCAGCCTGCAGCATTGCAGGCCCAGAACTTAGAAGCATCCAAAGGCTGGGCTGTCACTCCCTACTACAGCATGAATGCTTGGTTCAGAAATTTGCCATCAACATCTACTTTTCACTCTAGTTGTACAAAAGCTCTCCTTGGAGTCCTGTGAGATCCCATGAGTTTCTGAGGACTTTTGGAAAAGCCAACTCGAGTTTTGGGGGTATTTGTATCAGATCCATAAATGGGGTTTGCAGGGTTTCAGCAAGAGGAAGACCCATGAGAATGGACTGATCCTGCAGCACAACTGGGAATCCCATTCCTCCTGTAGGTCTTGGCTTGCCCAAGGACACCCAGCATTGTTTGGAATACCATGGCTACTGCTTCCATTTGAAATCCTGCCCGAAGCCTTTTGCTGCGTTTGGAACTTGCTACCGGCGTCGGAAAACCTGCTGCATAGGTGTGTGTGGGGACCCTGCCCAGGCAGGAGAGGACTAAAGTCAGCAAAACTTGTCCTCTTTGCCTCCAAATCATAGCACCATGGAATGGTTTGGGTTGGAAGGGCCTTAACACTCATCTCATTTCAGGAATTTGCAGCTCGGGATTTTTATATTTAAGAATCTTTGTGTTTAAGAGTCCTTATTAGATTTTCCCCCCCCACCTTACATTAGGAATCCCTTCTGTTTGTTTTAAAGCCTCGTCCCTCACAATTTTATTCAGTGCCACCTACTTGAAATGTAAACATTCTGCATTTTCTTCACACATTTACAAAATCCCTCCTTCAGTTAATTCTTTTCCAAGCAGGTCTTAAATTCCCTCTTTTATAGAAGTACTCTGATAAGCCCCAAAGTCCATCTTTGTGCCTTTGCTTTTGGAGACACAGTAACCACCACTTCCCAACAACTTCTGATGTATGAGGTGGTTCAGATGACGGTGTCATGTTTTTTGCTCTGACTTATATCCTCTAAATTGCAGACACGACATCAAACTTCCACATTTGTCAAGAGGAGGGGGGTCATTGTGTACCCCCAGAAATCAGATGTCTGCAAGAACAAGTGGGACTCTGCCCTCGCAGGGGATGGAAGTGCTGCACAGAAGTGTGACAAGGATCTCATGGAATTGTAGAAAACCACAGAAATGCATGGCCAAGAAAACAACTGAGGCTTTTTTTCTAGTGTTTTAGACATGTCTGGTGTTCTCAACATGCAAAATGTGTAATTAACTAGAGGTGATATGTTTCTTTATATAACAAAGGCAATAAATGCTAAATAAACAGGTATAACAGTTGTGTACCTACGAAAAGAGGCAGAATGTCTCTCCATTACACCCACACACAGAAATCCACACAGCTTTGCTGCTGCATCCTTGGAAACCACATTCACTAAGCCTATTTACCAGCCTAATCTTACTTACCAGGTTGATGTTATGCTTGGATGTTTTACAGGATTGGGGACAATTAGTCAGGGAATCACAGAACCATTTAGGCTGGAAAACACCTCCAAGATCATTGAGTTCAACCTTTGACAAATCTCCACCTTGTCAACCAGACCAGAGCACTGAGTGCCACGTCCAGATGTTTCTTGAACACTGAACACTTCCGGGGAGTGGCTGAGGGAGCTGGGGCTGTTTGGCCTGGAGAAAAGGAGGCTCAGGAGGGACCTTATCGCTCTCTAAAACTACCTGACAGGAGATTGTAGCCAGGTGGGGTTTGGTCTCTTCTCCCAGGCAACCAGGAACAAGAGGAAATGGCCTCAAGCTGTGTTAGGAGAGGTTCAGGTTGGACATTAAGAGGAATTTCTTCGTGGAAAGAGTAGTTAAGCATTGGAATGGGCTGCCCAGGGCAGTGGTGGAGTCACCATCCCTGGAGGGATTTAAAAGATGTTTAAGTGGACACCTGGGGACATGGTTTAGCGGTGGGCTTGGCAGTGCTGGGGAATGATTGGTCTTGATTATCCTGGAGGTCTTTTCCAATTTAAATGATTCAATGATTCCAGCTATGTTGTTTAATTTGTTTTTTTTATAGAGAGAAGGGAAATCTTAACCTTGCTCTTTCAGGCATCCAGTTTTGCATGTGTTCACACAGCAGTGACATTACCACAGCTGAAGGGACAGCAATCAGCAGGGCCAGACGGGGCAGCAGGAATATCACATTTCACAGCAGGAGCTGCACATCTATCACAGGTTTACCACCACAGGGTGCATTGCTGAGCCACCTCCTCCACCATCACACTCAGGAATGAAGCCTCCCAAATTCCTCGGAAGCCAAAGCTGGAAAAAAATCACACCCAGGTTCACAAGAGCTCAGATGAAAAACAAATCACTCCCAGCCTGCACCGTTCTCTCTGCAGCTCCTCAGGAGTCTTCCCTTGCAGGTTGCCTCCCTCCCACTCATCACTTCCCAGGACTTTGCTGGCTGCAGGTGAAGGGCAGAGGATCCCTCTGAGCCTCTTTTCCCAGCTGGCAACCTACCAGTCCAAAATGCCAGCTTCCAGGGAGAGGGGAATCAGGGAAGCCGATAACCAGTGAATGTGAAGCAAGTCAACATTGTTTGGAGCCACAGCACTGGGTCAGAACGACACAAAGGGTTGCTCAGCAGCAAATGTTACTTCTGAGACTGGAATATAATTAACTCCTGCCTGTTCTTTCCCTCTCCACGGATGCCACCCAGCATGCCAGCAGCACACAGAGGCTTCTGCACAACCTCACACTCAGCCCTGCAGTTTTCCAGCAGAGCCAAAGTAATGAGGATTCTTATGTTTGTTTTCATCTTCATCTCCCTGACCCAGCACGGTAAGACCAGGAAGGTGGTAAACAGAGGGATCTGGAACAGGAATAATATTTCCTCACTGTATATTATTATAGGTACTGAGGAAAGGTGTCTTCAGGTTTCTGGGTGGCAAAATGCATGCTTTAATCTCTTGGGGTAATGCAAAAATGAGCAGGGATTCATAGAATCACAAAATGATTGGTGTTGGAAGAGACCTTAAAGGTCATCTAATTCCATCCCCCCCAAGAAAATGGGGCAGCTCACTGCCTTTGCAGGAGAAGCCCTAGAGGAGATGCCCTGTGCTCTGGGAGAATATTCCTGCCTTTCCTCAGGCTGCAGTTGCCTCCTTGGCAGGGCGAGGATGACCACCCCGACCTCCCATGCACAGTCTTTGCCAGCGTCCAGAAAAAAAAAAATCATGATAAAATGTTCCTTGAGGGAGTTTGGTTCTGCAACTTGGATTTTTAACATGGATGTCTGAAGCTGTCCTGTGGGATGGGGATGCCCAGGCTCCATGTGATGGCTTGGCTGGCTGGGCACAAAGTGCCACAGGGAGCCCCATGAGTTTTACCCACTGATTTTACTTGCTGCTTCTATGTACAGGAGATGGTCATGGACCAGAGGGCTGTAACCATGAAGGGGGCTTGTGCAGAGTTGGAAACTGCATTTCTGGTGAATACCTGGCTCAGTTCTGCTTTGAGCCCATCATTCTCTGCTGCAAAAATTTGCCACCCACCACCACCAAGAGCTGAAGGTTTCCAAAGGAGCCAGAGAGCTGCAGGCTCCACTGACAAGGCAGGAACAGCTGCTGGGAAGGAGACCTTGTGGTTTCTGTCAGTGTTGCTCCCCTGGGAAAACATGACTGTGGATTTGCTCGTGAACTTCTGAACACTTCGCTTTTGCTGTGGCTTCCAAGGAAACGCTGTGACAAGAAGAAATTGGGGCCACCCAAACTGTTTATCACCCCTTTGGGACTGTGGTTGTTACCTGTCACAGATAGATGAGAAATTGCCTTTCTCCTTACCTGAAAGCAATAAACTTGAAGTTTGAGAGCAGCAAGTGCCTGTCTGTGACCTGGCAAAGTTGCCGGAGGTAAGACCCCCCCCCTCACTGACCAGGAGTGAACACAGCAGCCCTCACCTTCCCTGCAGAGCAGGGTGGCTCTGTATTTCCCTTCCTAGAGATAACAGTTGTAATTGGGACAGCGATTTTGGCATCACTTTTGGTGCAAAAGCAACATGGTTTGACATAAAGTCAAGTGTGGTCTGTGTTTCTTGGGCAAGACCCCCCATATCCACTTTTCCTTTCTGGGCTGTGCCAGGATCTTACAGGCAATCATAGAACCAGAGAATGGTTTGGATTGAAAGGGACTTTAAAGATCATCTCATTCCAAACCCCTGCCATGGGCAGGGACACCTTCCACTATCCTAGGCTGCTCCAAGCCCCATCCAACCTGGCCTTGAACACTTGCAGGGATGGGGCAGCCCCAGCTTCTTTGGGCAACCTGTGCCAGGGCCTCGCCACCCTCATAGGGAAGGATGTTTCTCCTGAGAGCACAGATTTACTTGTTTTAAACATGGAGGGGAGGGGATCTGAAAGCTATGTCCCACTGCCCCTGACAGGCTGCCCTGTCCATCAATGGACTGCATTTCTGGTGCTCCTTCTTTCCTCTGTGGTCACCCAGCAATAGTCCCAAAGAAATTAGCCTCTTTACCCCTAGCAGCATTCTTCCTGTGAGCTCCATCAGCCTAAATCCATTAGCTGTCCAAATCCACTCTCAGCCCTTCTGTGTCTTTTCAGAATGAAATTTTGACACTCCCCTTCCTTTGTCAGCTCCTGGTCTCCCTTTCTAGGTAAAATATTTCTCTCTGGGTCAATCATTTCTGTGAAAGCAAGAAAACAATGATGTAATGAGAGAGCTATGCCAATTTGCTGAGGCACTGGTCAGAGCCAGGGAAAAGTCCTCCCTGGGAGATGAAATTCTTTCTCTGATGAATCAAACAGGAAAATTCCCATTGCCCTCAGCAGGGTCAGGACCCATTGCCAGAGATCCAACAATTCATTCATTCCAATGTCTCCATTCACCCATGAGCTGCCCAGTTGTTCTCCAGCACTCCCCTGGAGATCCCCTGCAGTTGGATGAACCTTCAGGAGAGCCAGATTACCCAGATCTGGCTATTGGCTTGGGAACCAGTGCTGGAAACAGTGTTGGGCTGAGCCCAGATCCAAATTCCTTCCCAGATGCAGCCCCTGTCTCTGACGCACACTGATGTAGGAAGACAGCACTGAGAGCGTTTTAAATCAAGGCACTCTTCCAAATTAAACTGTTTATTTCTCACATTCATCCACAAAGTTCATTATTTGGGCCCCTTATCTGGGAATGTTCACCCATCATGGTTCATCCTGGTTTCCTAAAGGAAGTGAAATGTGGGCTCATGCAGCTCACCTTGCACATCTCCCTGATGGTCACTGGGCCTTCTGCCCCTGACATGTTTTGGACCTGCTGGCCAGTCAGTTTTCAAGCAGGAAAGGTGGAAATGCTCAGTTTATAAGCAAAATTGTCCCTCTAGCAATAATTAAAATGTAGGCTGCTGACAAAAGGAATAGTCTCTTTAGCATGGTCCCACTCTCCTGAGTCTGTGTGTTCCATTCCTTGCTGATCTGGCTGGAAATAACACCCCCCCCAAAAAAAATCATAGAATCTTCATAGAATTATTTGGGTCGGAAGGGGCCTTTAAGATCATCTAGTTCCAACCCCCCTGCCATAGGCAGGGCATTACTAAACTCCTCTGAGTGACCATTTTCATCCACTCAGCACAGAGCTGTTCATGACACCACACTCCTGCTCAAATGCTGTTTTCCGACTCTTTAAACCCAAAAGCCAAAAAATATTCATTATTGAAGCACTCAATAAAAGCCATCCCTAGTGTGACCCTTTGCCAGAGGATTTCCATGCAGGACCACCAGTCCTGCCCAACAGGGACCATTTCCCAGAGTGTAGACTCACATGTAGTCAGTGGATTCAGCTGAATCCAACCCTTTACCTGCATGATTGCATGTAGGAGTAGAGGGCACAGTCAGACAAGCTAAGGGGCAAGACAGGGTGGCAGAAGTAATGAGAAGGTAAAGTCTGTGATCCCTTGAGAGATGGAGGCTGGTGAGAATTTAAACCAGGCTAAAAGTCAGCTCCGAAAACACATTGAGGATTTGTCCTCATGGGAGAAAGCCAAATGGAGGGGAGGATTTCTGTGGGAATGGCTTTGCTGAGCTTTGAACTCCAGCTGTCTGTACCTGATAGAAGGCTACAAAGTAGGGATTCTTTAGTACTACTCTATTAGACCTACACCAGCTCCTAAGGGAGATGCAAAACCCATCCAGGCATCTCGAGGCACATATTTGGGGTCTCTGCAGCCATACAGGCAGCCAGGATAGATCCCCACCCCCATGCCTGGTCTGTCGACCAGCACAAGCCTCATGGATAGCTGGGGGTGTTAGTTCATCAA